ACACTGACTGCATTGAATATAACTCGGTAGAACTCCATACTAATAATTTTTACACAATTTCTTTTATTTTGAATAGTTCAGCGATCACCTATCAAACAATTGATATTACTATTACTTTTTAAAATCGTATACTTTTCCCTGATGTGGATTTTATCCAAACAAATAATTTGTGGAAAGGGCATCTTGTTGTTATAGTAATTTTTTTTTTGAATACATACTCAACTTGATCTTCATATTTCTTTCAGGCCACCATCCAAATTTGAGTAAAATGTCCGAATTGCAGATTTTCCACAACTCAAGCAAATCTTGTCAAAAATTTTGATATTGTAGCCTCTAATCTACTTGAGACAGGTACATGACAGTCCGTTATTATCAATTCAAAACGTCATAAGGTTCTATTTGATAAACGGATTTCAAAAACAGAATGTTGGGAATAATTTACACAGATTCTAAAAAAAACAAAAAACCATGACAAGATCCCAGACAAATTCACTACCGTTAGACAGATAATCTATTGTAATATATTGAAAAGAACGTCAGATATCGGTATTTTACGGTATACTAGAGTAATAGTCCAGACTATAACACAAATAAATTAGACTGATTGGAAATTTTATTCATGCATATGACACTCAATGTCTGCTGAATGAAATCATTTATGTGAAAAGCTACTACCAGAAACTGACAACTACGAGCCCCTTCCTACTTCAGTTGGCCTACTTCAAGAGTTGTACCAAAATATGCCTTTATAAACTAAACATGACGAAACTATTTACTTCTAAAACAATTTATTTTCTCAGAAACATTTTAGATACACTTTACTCGTAAAAAATACATATTTGAAATCACTTAGACCTATAACTAATAGAACATCTGAACAAGTAAACAATGTGCGAATAAATGCGCGAAGTTAACAAAGCAACAATTGACAGTTTACCATTGCGTAACATCACCTTTTTTTTTATTACGGCTGAAATTCTTTGGGGCATAGTATTAACCAAGCTTTCGCAAAAATTTGATGTAAAACAACCCCTTTTTCTTGAAGCTTTGTCTCAGTTCGGTGATTGTACGAGCAGGATGTTGTCGCAGAACCTTTTTCATCTCGTGCTACAAAGTGGTACATTATTTTCTTCCATCCATTTTATAGCCTTTTTTGAGGTATGGCACGCTGCACCATCTTGCTGAAACACAAAATCTTTGTCAAACATTCTTCCATCACTGGTAACAGCGATTCTTCTAAAATTCCCAGATATTTGTTTGTATCCACATTTCCATCAATAAAATTAAGTTTTGATGACATACTGCCCCAGACCATAATGGATGCTGGAAATTTCCCTTTTCTTTTAGACAGTCAACATGGAATACTTATTTTTTTTTGCGAATAACTCTACTGCGACTGTCACCAACACAAACTTCGAATCGTGCCTCATCACTCCATTGTATTGCACACCATTGTTGAGGTGTCCATTGTCTATGTTCTTTAGCCCATCTAAGCCGATTTTTCTTTTGCACTGGAGTTAATAGTGGCTTTTCCTTGGCCTATAAACAAATTGTGCAACTTTAGGGTTTTTGCTTCACTTTTTTATAAGAAAACTTACTTGCAAGTGCTAAATCCCAGTTTGTGGGCCTCTCTATGAGTTGTGGACCTCGAAATTCTGCTTCCAACAGCGTCACTAGACAGAGCACTTAATTGTAAATAATTGACACGCCTGTTTTTCTCGATTATTCTTCTTATTGCTCTTCTGTCGGCATTTGTGATATTACTTTTTTTTACATATCGGGACTTAATATTAACTGAACCAGTTACGTTATATCTTCTAACAATATTTCTCACACTGTACCGCAATAACTCTAACAAAGTTGCAATTTCTGAATTTGATTTCCCAGAATTAAAAAATTTAATTAAAAGTAACCGAATTTTCTCACTAATAACCTTTCCTCTACCCATTTTGAAAACCATAACTACCCGAAACTATTTTGAACGTATTCTGACAGCTGTGATTAATAAAAACAATTTTCATGGCTTTTATTTTTCACAGCCACCTATGCGTTATAGACTTATTTTGCATTGAAATGAAAATAGGTTGATATGCTGTAATTGCAACATGTGTTACTTTTATGCTGCAAGTTTGATTAGGGAGTAATAAAGTTGGTGTTTCCTACTATATATTATCAAAATATTCATTGTTAATACTTTAAACCTATAACACCCTGCTGCATTTGTATTATTTGTGTTTGATAAGAAAAAAACATGAACCAAACACTTAATCCAAATATTTATAGAAATTGTAGCAGCCGAAACGTATTTAAATAGTCTATTCAACATCTGTGATTTTATTTATTGACTAACACAAGATTTAAGCTACGATATAGATGACAACTATTGCTGGATTTTATTAGTTCAAGCCATACTCGAAAAATGCAATAAGTGTTCGTTATAGTGAAAATATTCAGTAATTGATTTTCCCAAATTCGATCCAAATGCTTTATACAAAATATTTAAGAATGCTGACCCAATGCTCAATCAACAGGACTCTTTAAGAGTTTTTCTATGTAACTTACATTTTTCACCGAGATTTATTAAATTAAAACTTTGAAAATAAAAACACCCAGCCTGAGGCGGATTTAGGAATCTGTGTACGAGGGGCTCAGTTGCGGTCGTAGGTTGCACGTTCAGGGTTGGTACCACAATTGTACTATGCAAGAAAAATGGCAGCCTTTGACGCTCGCCACGCTCCTTTAAATCTGCTCATGCCCCCAACCCTCCTTATAAAAATGATAGTCACAACTCCAATCAGTGAAAGAGTATAGTATAGATTTTGCAAGCATTTTGTTTCACGGGAACGGTACTAGTTGTGGTATTGCGTCAATTCACGTATCACCCCGTTTTATTATTTCAACCAGATTCCAACTCGCTAGAATGAGAGAAACTTGGATTGCGACACCTTTCTAACAAGATGTCTATCTTTATTATCTATATTTCTTGGGAAAAATTGAACTGTGCGGAACACGCAAAGAGTATATAGATCCCACATTGACCTATGAATGAAACTACAAACAACTGCGTGGTTGCCAGCGTTTGTGGAATCCACCTTAGCCTCGGGTAGCATAGGCATTAATATACTCCATCTTAGCTCACCACCACCTGGGCTATACACACTAGCACTAAAATGCAGTTTGAAGATCGAATTTGGATGTCAATTAACTTCCTGCTATTTTTTTGTTTTTCAAACTGACACAGTGGTAATATGCTACTGAACAAACTCTGGTCAAATGGCATCCGATACACGGATCCCACTTGAACCTTGGATTTTAGCATGGGCGGATGCCACTTCATACCCAAAATAAATAAGAGTATCTGAAACATTACAAATCGAAGTTTGAGCAGTTTTTATTTTTTTCGAGTTTTTGCCCCTAGCTCCGCCACCACTGAGCCAAATTTAACTGCGAAGCTTTTGCATCGTTGACATAGTAGAGTTACTGTGTGAGAATTTAACAGAAATTCGAATGGCACTTCTCAGGTTGTAAGATTAGTCGACAAACCGATTGAAATGACTGACATGGTTTTTTTGTTATAGAAATTTCACATATCATCCAAAAAACGTAATATGTCATTTTCGAAAAGTTTCGCGTAAATCTTCTTGATTACAACACAGTAGGCAACATTTACTTTTTACTGCAAAACTCATAACTGTGAAACTGAAAGAATAGCCAGAAGTTGAAGCATTTGTGGTGCCCAACATACATAAAAATATTCAATCACAAATGCCCAACCATTTTTGCAATTTTCAAAATGTTACTAATTGTTTTTTCCAAAAAATTTTTTTTTGTGATCTATCCAACGACTTTGGATCAATTAATTTGCTTCATATTTGGCTCATTCTCTTGCTAGGGGGTTGGTTCAATATTCTATTGATAGAGATACCAGATTTTCTTATATAAACCATGTAAAATGCATCGCCAATGGTACATCTATATTTGCTTTATAAACAATTAGAATAAGTCCGTTGTTTTTTTTAATGGTAATTATGATGCCCACTACTGAAAAGTTGATGAAGATACACACTCTGACGACAAGAAGATATTTTTTTGGACCTTTGTCTCCGAGTCTCACCAGAGAATAGTCCCAATGTGAACTCATTTGACTGACAGCATGTCCAAAAAGGCCATTTTCCTGAAAAAGATTAGTAAATATTAAAAAATTGCAGAAATAGTATTGCATTTTTAATGAATTTATTTCTGGATGTTGAGCACCGTAAAGGCTCCAACTTTTGGTTATAATTACACATTTATTGTCATGCGTTTTCAAGTAAAAAAAATGAATGCAGTAATTGACGATTTATGAGGTCTTCTTTATAATAACAAATTAACCGAAATGAAACATTCACCGTGTAGGCCCTTATTTTGAAGGAGCATCTATCAGCAATAACATTTTTTGACCACCACTTCCTTACACTCAAAAAGGTGTGTTTTCGAACAATGCCGTTTAATGAAAAATTTAATTAGAATTTTTTTCTGTTGTGAAGCAGCTCATAACCATTTTTTCTCTCAAATTCCACATATTCCGATCTATTGTGTAAGCTTACTACTCTTTTTTATCAGGCAATTTGCGTATTGAAAATTTCTTGACAGCAAACTTATTTTTCGTGATAAGGTTGTTTTCAAGGTGTCTAGAAAAATGGTGTTAGCTGAGACTGAGTGACGCATCCTTATGCAGAGGATGTGGACAATAAGATGAAACAGTCATTCCGAGAATCCATTCTAGGGAAACGACGTTGGGTCGCATCATCACCTTTTTCAGTAGTATGGGGTGGCTGACGATCTGGATCTGAGCGACGAGTGGGGAGGAAGTACTTCTATACAGAATACTCAATAGCTAAATGTTTTTGTACTTAAATTCGTCCCCACTAAGAGACCAAAGGATACCTAAAGAGACCCGCATCCTTAAGATGCCAACGAAAGTACGCTATAAAAGTTCTAACAATTTCCTTCTGTCCTAGGGATCAGCCGTCGAAACTGAAAAATGTGGCACAGGCTTGGGAGCAGGTTGGGAATGTGTATATGGGCCAGGTTCATCGGTTGGTGGACTTGTATCAGAAATCGCAGCTGAAATTCCTGAGGTAGCAGCGGAGGTTGGACCGTTTTGCAGGTAAGTCTAACCCATGAACCGCAGTGAAGTACCTACAATAAAAGGTTGCGTGAAATGTTTGATGTGAGTATACTACATGCATTACTTTTGACAAATGTCATTTGTGTACTATAGGTGCGGCTGCGTAGTACACCTTGGTAGAGCTCGGCCAAAAAGGCTACTTGCGACGTCAGCCCAGAGCTGTCCAGGCAGAACATTTTGGCTAATCCAGGTGAGTCTTTTGTTATGGCTGTCGTATTTCAAATGTCAGTTCAAGAAGATAATGACTTTTTGGGTTTTTAATTTATTTTCCTAATAGTCTCCTTCAAGTAAAATATGTGCTAAATAATGTATATTTAATATGTGTTCGCTAAAAATATTTTGTCAAAGCGGTCAAATTATTTTGCTAGGCAAATGAAAAAAAAAACATGATCTGGCTGAATCCAGTTTGGATACTTTTTGTTGGGTTAGAAGGCATTCAGTAAAACAGGCCTAACTGTTGAATGACTTGGCAGATTCTCAATGAAAGACTGACTGAGTTATCTACAAATCAAACCCTTTCATCTGATGCCTATTTAGGCATATCTGCTCACATTACTGCCCATAACCTTTTAGCAGATTAACCAATCTTATTAAGTATAGCTAAAAACAATTTCGACAGGTAGGACTTTTGATGGAAAAACTGCACTCAAATCAGTTCATCCATTGAGGTGCTAAAATGTGCTACATTAAAACTAATATGTTTGCTGTTGGATCCACTGTGATATTTTAAGTGGTGTAGCCCCAACTATTGAGGGAAGACCGCGTTAGTATGCTCACCCCTTGGCCTTTGCGAAGAGTACGAAGGACCCTTTCGCGAATAGATGACATTAAACGCTCCACCTGGTGAAACATAAACCATTTTCTAGCAATGATTTTTAAACCAAAACTAATCTGTCCAGGAGTAACGTAAAACTACACCGACGGTTAAAAGCTTCAGGGTCGGACTCCATGTATCTCATATTTTTTGCTTTTTATCAGAATTAGCACCTTTTAAGCTAAACATTAATAATACAATACAAATAATAATTTTATGCACTCTATTTAGTTTTTTCAGTATTTTTTTTAGTGATTTAATTCTAGCATCTGATGTGGTACAACATGAGTCCTGATTTAGGGCAACGGCATTTAGTATGCAAAGGCACTGAATTTGACTCTGCAAACCAATTCCAGATTATGATGGAGATGTAGATAAATTTAGTGTACAGGTCCGGACCCATGAAATGTCCAATTCCGACTTACACACTACATTTTTGTGGATTTTTAACTTAAAGCTGGTCTGGAATGTCAAATTTAGAGAAATCGCACACTTAATGCTGTTTTCCTTATGCGATACTTATGTTGCATAACATCAATTATACAGGGTGACTTTGAAGTTGAGTCATTAATTTTCAGATAATGATTGTAGAAGGAAGATAAACCAAAATATGTGTGTAAAAATAAAAAAAAATTAAAAATAAAGATTTACCTTGTTTTATAAAGTATCCTCCCGACAAGTATTTCAGTGCGGACCTGTATTTGATCGTGAGGTCTTGGAGTACCGGCATGCCATCCATATGTGAGGTCTTAAGTCACCTGATTCACGAACCCGTTGTACTACATTAACAAAGGCACGAGGGGTTGGTTGCACTCGATTGGGAAACCGATCCGCATAAACATGTGCCATTTTTTATTTCGTTTGAGCCACGCAACAGAAAGCACTATTTACTACCGACTGACACTGACTGTATACAACTGAATGAAATAATTGTAAAAACATCGTTCCAAATTCTTTCGCTTTTTTGTTTCCGATGCGATGAACCGATAAGGCGGATTATATCCGTTGTCGCCAAACACGAGCACATAATATTATTATTGAGACAGGGCGGTACTCAAACTTCCAAAGGGCTATAACTTTGTTACTTTAATTTTACCAGAAGAATGGTAAAAAAACATTTCTTTTGATCAGATCTACTCAGTGTTAAAATAAATGACTCAACTTCGAAGTCACCCTGTATATCGTGAATCGCTTTCTTAAACGAAATAATAATAAACTGAGAGTATGATAAATATTAGATACAAGGAAATAAAAGAAGCTCAACTCAACCATTAGAATTTTGTTGTAAACTGCTGGAGATAACATATTTGAGTAAGTAAAACGTTTTAACTAAAACACTAAAAGAGGCGAAATCATTGTATTTTGCTAATTAACTAGTACCATTCATTGGTTTCTTTTATACAAAGTCAAACATTTCAATAGTCAGATAAAAGGTGCTGATTTTGATTAAACAGAAAAAAGTCAAAAATCAGGGTAGGTACTGGATTTTTCAATCATACGTCTAGTTTTACGTTACAACTTTGTTGTGCAAAATTTCAACAGAGTCGGTTCAGATTTGTGATATTGAATATTTGACGTGTTTAGATAAATTACCCTGTATATCCGTAAATTACGCATTTAGACGTTTTTATTTTCAGATGTGGATAGGTCTTGGTATTTACCGTTCCACTATGTCCATTTGAGTGTTGAAGTAAAAGTCTGACTGTGAAGATATTTTGGTAGATGGACTTCATTATTTTTATTTCATTAGGCTGAAGATGACTGCATCGTGGAGTTCCGCGTGGATCAATTCCGCTTACCTTGCGGCACTCAGTGGCTGAAGGTGCGCGACGGTCCGGCAATTTCTTCAACGTTGGTTGCAGCACTCCCTGAAGACGACCACGCGGCCGTCAACTCCTCAGGGCCGCACCTACTGCTGGAGTTCTATGCTGAAACTGAAGACCCAGCCGAAACGCAGGCATGTGGAGGAGGGTTCTTTGCCGTCGCAACGCAGTTCAGTGAGTAGTTTGATTAAGATGGGAAAATGAAAATGTTCGAGATTTGTGCAAAAACTGTTCACGATATTTGATTATCTGAAAATGTAGTTTGAATGGCCTTAATATCTGGAAGGTTTTGTTAACTGTGTTCACTTTATCTGCCGACTAATTTTTTTAAACAGGCCTTGTGTAATATGCATTTGCAATCAAATTGACTATAAGGATTGAGTTGAAAAGATATATTTCTGCATTCCAGAAGTAGATAGTAGTCAATAAACGGCATTTCATTGTCAAGCGGGGCGCACGAATGTTATGATAAAATCATCGATTTTAGGTCATTTCCAGTCTTTGGAACTCTGTGAGTTCGATATCCAGAATAGCAGTTGTCTGTCAGTCATTAATTATTGATTTAGGTCATCTGAGCTTAGGCGGGGTGTTGCTCTAAGTTTAAGTCTATAAATGTGTCTTTACTCAATACCTTTTTGTTCATCTTAAGCAGTTGGTGCAATTGTTTTTCACATGTAGAAAGTGTGAAATGGAAAAGAAAATAAAACCGACCAAGATTCCAAGGGAAATGGTATCTACGATCCCTACAATACCACGTTCTATTCCAGAAAATCCCAGACAAAATATATCAAGTGTGCCAGTAGCCCAGAGTGTTGGTGTAGTTCCTGCTATAGTGCTGAAGCTCACAACTGTTCATATTGCCGCCATATTCTTCCTCTGTGGTCTCATTATAGCAACTATCGCGTTGGCTGCCCAGTACATAGTTAGGTACAGGAAGTATCATGTCGCCAAGGGAGAAGATCAAGACTCGCTGGCGGGTAAGTTTCTCATTTTTTAACGACATTGAGTGCGTTAGCGAATACTTTTCTGCTTCCCCATGATGAGCAGCTACAGTGGCATCTTTTTTCCGAATTTCTTATTAAAAATGAAATATATACATTTTTGCTAAATAAGTTTTCATGTTCTGATGCACGTTCCGATATTGACATTAGTTCAATAATCGCGTAAAAGAACCAAAATGAAATTCTCAAGAAATGTATCAATCAGTCAGTGATTTTTTTTACTCTACTAAACTGATAAGCCGCTATTATTTACCGCGTTCCTCAAAGAAGTTACATTTCTCCCTCTAGGTAAACAAACAAAATGGAAAAAAATGTCACATGAATCTGTGCATAAATGCAAAACATAGGACGTGGTCCGCTGCATCAGTGCTTCTGATAACGGATGCCCGTTATGATAGTTGAAGAGCGGGGGCGATATCGACAACTGAAAACTGACAAGTGGGGGGGGGGGGTCGTAGTAACCCTAAGTTTAGAATATGCCGTGAGCTTTCAGCAGAAGGAAACAGCAAAACAGCACAAACGACAAATTAAACTGGCGAAATCTTGTCAGGTAAACAAATTTTACGATTCACTCGCGAACAGATGCATTGTGAATGGATAAAATCTAAGGGGCAACACAGAGGTATATTTATCAATTGATTGCAATGAAACATTGAATTGTCTCGCAAAGATAGACCTTCATAACGGTCTCCTGAAAATCTTGCCCGTGAGATGTTTCTCCTGGGGAGAGCGCAGCTCGTGCGGAGCCTGTTTTACACGGAGGTATCGCAATGATGAGTGTCGACACCCGGTATACATTCACACCCGTGTTTAGCAGTTAGTTTACGTACACTCGCCCACTCACAAACACTGAAAATCTAAATATTCGCGCAACTTACACAGAAGCGTAAAACTAGCTGTGTAACTATCAACTTTTGGTGATTAGCCTTATACTGTTGCTTTTAATTTCACGAGCTATTCGTTTGGGCAACGCTATTAAAAGCTCTTCGGACTAATAAAACTTTGATTGCACTGCTCGAACTTCTGATAAAATTATATATTTTATTAGCATATACTAACTGGTAAAAGGCAAAGTAGCTGGATCTTTATAAATATTCCTCTTTGATGGAAACTTACATCGTAAAAAGAATATTTGAGAAAGTGCATTGCTTGGTTATGAGCTCATAGAGGAAGCATTTATGAACTTGTTTAGTCATTTACATGAAGTAGTTACTCGTCCAATTACTTTCTACCAAACTGGTCGAGGAACTAAAAATAAATTTTTCTATGATTTTTTTATGGACTATTAAGATGTGAAGCGAAAGCTGCTGAGGTGTTGAAAAAATGAATATATATATATATATATTATAATATATATATATATATATATATATCTATATAGGTGAAAAATTAAAGCTTCCGCCTTTTGTTGGGTACTTCGACAAAATTTAAGCAAAGAGGACTCTTTATACTTTTTTAATTCTCTCTAGCTTTCAATGGACTTTGCCATCATCATCAGGAGCTGCAATTACAATGATAACAGTAGCAACAAAAGTGTAAAATGAATTTAAATTGACTCAACTTACAGTAGTATGTGAGGATGTTGCTAATTGTTGTTTACGTATAGGATGAGGGAAACGTCCAGTAACATGGTGACAATATTATTTTTTTTCGTAATATCTTAGGTCTGACAGTGTTATTGTATGACATATCATATGGAATTATATTGAGTCACATTTAGACACTATTCAACTGTGAAAATCCAACATGGCGTCTATACGAAGAAATAAAGTTGATGACTGAGGACAAGTAACGAAGCGTCATGTTGGAATTATAATGATGCCATCCTGTAGAGGAGAAAAAGTGGCAATATTAATGTAGTTTTCATTCCAAAATTCCATGCCAAATAAGGCCACAAAAGATTAAAACGATCTTCAGAAAACTCGGTTGCTTCTGTTGATCTCCGGAAAAACTCGGTATTGCGAAACTCTGCCCCATTCAACCGACGTATCTCTTAACGTTTCTGAGATCCCAAAGGTGAGTGTCGAATTAGAAACACTCGGTATATTATATTGCGAGCAACGTCTCAAAGTGATAGATTCCTGATAGAAAACAATCATTTTCCACAGCAGTAACTTTAACTGCTGCATTTAATTGGTGCATTCGTGTCGCTAACTTGTTTTAATTAGAGCTAAAATTTATTAGCATCTGGAATTAATTAGTTGTGGTTGGTTGAGGCTCTGTTTAGAGCTTTAGAGGCAAGATCGTATCGCCCATGTTGTAATTGCATCTGATAGTTTCGCCTACATACCCAAGTTAAAAATGCGATACCGCAGAATCGAGTAATGAGGAAGTTTCCTGTTTTCCAAAACATATTGTCACGATTTGGTTTGGGGTTTAGTTGCTCGGGGCTGAGTAGACCTTCACCGGTGCGCTACTGGAATAACTGCAAGCACTCACAAATAAAGGTGAATTCAAATCTCAAAAGTTTCCTCCAACATCAGGTATTCCACAGGGATCCTCGTTAGGGTCACTTATTTTTATTATATTTATCAAAGACATTGCTGACGTTATTGATTACAGCATGATTGCCGAGATGAGTCTTTAGTGTTAAAATCTGGCAGTATTAAAAAATTATTTTTCTCTATAACGATTGCAGAACAGCTATTCCACTTTGAAGTTACAGAGCAAGTAACTTTATCGAAATTAACAAAGTCATCAGAGGGGAAAATATGCTCAAGCAGTTCTATATAAAAACACTGAAACTACGAGACAAAATGCATAGCTACTCCTCACTGCAGCTTTTTTGCAGGATCTAGTGCCAGCTTGCCCATGGTCAATCGTGCCTCGTCTAGCGCAACGTTATTATCAGAAGTGATATCACTTACAAGACTAAGGCCACACATCAAGCCATCAAGAGCCAAGCATACGAGACTCAGAGAGTCCGCAGAATACGAATCTGGCAAGAGTGAAACCGAAGTAACACTGGCGTAAGTATTATAGCATATTTCTGCTGAACAATTGTTCAAAAATGATATTCTAGACTAGACTACAAGTCACATCATGTTTTCATGTCATCATTGTTTTAAATATGTATGGTTCTGGTACAGGAATTGAAAAACGCTGAGCGTTTTGAAAAACATTTGTCTTTTTAACACATAATCGGGTGCGAACACGTTGGCCTTTGCGTTGGTCGTAACATGTCTGTGTAAGTCATAACATGATGCACTCTGGAGAACCCCTGGAAACATTTAAAAAATATATTAGAAAAAGCAGCTGTATTCAAAAACATGGTGAGTGCATCAAGATATCTCGAAAAACACGTTTCCTAGAAAAAAACAGAGTTGTGAGGTTTGAAAGGGGCTATCCAATAGTGACCTGGAACGTGACCCTTACTATGATCTTCAATGTGATTTGAACGTTAAGACAGTTTTCTTAAACAGGAAGCTCCATTTTTGCTACTGAAAACGCAAAGGACGAGACATTTTACATTCAAGTCATTGACCTTGACTATGACCTTCATAAGTATTTGAGGCTGTCCAAAATATTTCGAAAAATATGTTTGTTTAAAGGAAAATGCAGACGAACAAATTTGTAAGGTTTGAAAACCATTAACGAAAGGTAACCTCAAACGTATGGTTTTGACTTTGATCTTAAAGGACAAGATGGTTTCATTAAGTGAAACCCCCCCTGGCTTTGATACGGAAAATGCTAAAAGTACAACACTTTGTTCATGTCCATGACCTTGGCTATGAACCGTCGTTATCCGACTATCAAATTAATGTTAAACAGGAAATATCTATATTCAATTCCTGGTATGCGAATTTTACGTTCAAGTGTATTCTTTCCAATGAACTTGACATTTAATTTAAAGGTCATTCAGAGGTCAAGTGAATTTGCAACAGAATCCTCGTATTTGTGCCATCAGAAATTCCACGTCCCCCTTAATCCTTTATCACCGCGAAACCTTTAAGGCCATGGTCAAGGCCACGTTCAATGTAACTTTGAATTTCACCTTTACGTGACTTTTTTCGAACCTCGCGACTTTTATTTTCAATACTATTCTCTATGTCGCAAATTTTGCAAGATATGTTATTTCCAAATTCTGTTCGATCACTGAAGTATCGGATATAATTATAATAGCGGTTCTTAGGACTGAGGCACAAGAGCGCGTGGGTTACACATTTAACCAAGCAAAAGCTTGTTTGAATTAATTGATCCATGTTTCCATGTGTCCAGACACAAATGAGAAATAAGTTTTTGTAGCTGAGAATTAGAAGCCCATCTTACTGAAATCGTATAATTTCTCTCTAGTTCACATCGAACAAACTCATAGGATGGTCAATAGTAAAATCGAGCCTTAATACCATATAATATATGTATGTAGGTAACTAGAGTTTATGTCTCATAATAAAATATGACCATTTCTCAAATAATTCAAATTGCTTATCATTAAGCACATTCCTAGCGCTGACGGTTTGAGTTGGGAACATTTACTTTTAGTAGATGCAGTTAACAGTAGCGGTGCCGGTCATTAATGTAAAATTAAAATATTTCTATACGGTTGCAAGAAGGCCACAATCCTTGTGACGAAATCTAACGACATGAAAATTAACTTGGTTTTACAACAGTGGTTGTGTGTTTTTTTTTGAGATAGCTGCCATACAGGAAATGCGGTTTAAAGTTTCAGGGAATAGTTTGCATTTTACTTCACTCTGATAATGCTCTTCTCTACATGGAAATGGCCATTCTTTGCTTTTGACTATTCAAAACAATACTAATCTAGTCGCCAACCAGCAACAGGGGTGCATGGACTACCCAACATTCAGCATTTCCCACCGGTTAAACCACTAAGCTATTTGAAGCCCTTTGATAGATTTGGCTTTTGGAATTCAGTCAGTCTGTCCAATAAGTGCGCTATACCGCAGGAAGACAGAAGTATATAAGCATTTTGCGTCATGCAAAGCTTGGAGTGAACACAATAAAGGCCTTCCAAAACCTCTAGGGGTCACAAGATCCCTACTCTTTTTTTCAACAAAAATTCTGGTTGCGACACTGAAGTAGAGTAAAGCCAAAGGAGTAATCGAACGATTCCGAACAATGGGTGACGCAGCAAAGCGACAACTTTGATGTAACGTAGCTGCAATTAAGACGTCATTTTTCCCGTGGTGTGCGATTTTCACAAAGCCAAAGGAAAAACTCTCCTGAAATCCTGCTGTCTGCTGCACTACTGCAGCACCAAATGATTACAGACTCATACTTTTCACTTTGTGCCTTGATGTGTGTGATGTGTGGTGTTCAGAGTTCATAATGGATACATCGTATGGCAGAAAGAAACCTCATTTATTTGAATATGAAACATTATTTTTTCGAGATTAAAAAGGGTAATATCAGGACAAGAATCGTATCCAATTATGTCTTATCAACGATAACTCTTGACCGACTTTTTCAGCATTGAATATACCGCACGGTAACCCAAATATTTGGTAAGGCATTTTTTTAATAATTTACAATGTTTTTTGTCCAAACATTTTTTTTTTCAATTTTTATCGACCATTCTGAACATAAAAGACGTCCAACAACTTAAAAGTTGAGCATTTTCGAGTTATAAGCGATTTCATGTCTGGAAAACCGTAATATGGCATATTCTATGCTTAAAAAGAGCTCTAAGAGTGTTTTGAAATCAGTTTTTTTTTCGCTCCGGTCTCAGTGTCTTCGATTTTTTTTAAGGTATTCTGAACAAAAGAGCGCTTTAGAGCTTCTTCCTAATTTGATAGTTTTTGAGATATAGGCGATACAATATTTGAAAAAGTGAAAAATATGCCACCTTCGATCCCACAAAACAATGTGAAAAAACGAAACCTTTAATGTTGCCGCACTTCCCAGGTATTTCTTAAGGTAATTAACAAAGTCCCAAAGCATTTCAGGAGGTATTGGTATCTCTCGCATGCTGAGTATACAGCCCTAGCTCGCGCTAGGGTAACAATGCAAAAACAAAGGTTTATATCCTAAAATGCTCTAGGGGTTAGACAATGGGACTAAAGAATATTTGCGGAGTTGAAAATCATTAAAATTTTCGTTTTTTGATATTGTGTTTGGGGGTCGGAAATGGCATATTTCGAAGTTTTTTAAACGTTGAATCGCTTATATCTCTAAAAATTCACAGAAAAGTTCTGAATAACCTTTTTTATATCCTTAAAACCCCAAAACAAAAAAATTGGGTCTGGCAACATGCGGGTTCGTTTTTAAATACGATTATGCAAGAAATCTGGATCAGAATGTTTTCCCATCAGATGCCAAGATAATTCCAGTTCGCATTGTCAGTCGGGCCACCACTGTGGCTGCTAGATGCCGTCGATTTTGATGCTATTGTAAAAAATTACATGATAATATTTATTTGTCTTCAAAATATACACTATACTCAAAAAAACTATATCGAGACAAGGAAATCAAAAACCCGCAGAAAGGTGACCCACGCGCGCGGGTAAAAAGGAATACAAAATACTCTTATACTAACGACAACACAACACGGAATCGTTTTCCTTATTCTAATGTAACATATGCTGTGTTTTCATCCAGGTAAAATGGCATATATAGGAATAATGACTATTCCGTGTTTTTTGGTTTACTTTATCTACTGTCTCAATTCTGGTGAAAGTTACATATTCGGGAATGTTGTCTAATATGAGATCTTGATAAGGTCATTAAATAGTCCAAGTGAGTTGATTTGTTGTAATTCTTCAAGGAGCATATTACAACACCTAAGTCCCACAAAGTCATAAGACCATTGTAAGACATTTTTTTTCTGGTTTTAAGACATGTATAAGGTTTTTATGTGTCATAATTAGACTTCACTACTCTCATGTCATTCCTGCCAGTAGAGCATTCACCTACTTATACTTCGTGCATAAGTATAGTTGAAGGGTATCAAAAATATTTGACTTTTGGAACAATCACTCGGTTGGATATTGCTTTGGCTTCTTAAACATCCCCTTTATAATGAATCTTTGGATTATCTCCAAGTTTTGGACATAATAGATAGATGCTATCCACCAAACTAGTAATATAGCTTTGGTTTGTTCGACCACAGACGGCCAACCATTTTTACTTGTTTTTATTCATCTATCCGAATTTGTTTTGCATCTGGCGGAAAAAAATGCCAGCACGTGATCTTTAACTTCTCGCCCTTGTGAGGCAGAGGTTTGAATATAGTTTACAAAGGTGGAGTAGAAGGGAAAACTAGCCATGCAGAACAATTTGATCATGTAGGTAGTCCGTTAAAGGATTAATTAGCTTTAACGCTCTGTAATAGCTAGTAAAAATGCCGGTACATTTCTGAGTATTACGTGGAATTATGAAAATAATTCGCGAATTATGGAGCAATAAACGGAATTATGGAGAAATTTCCTGAAACAACAGCAATTATTGGAAAATAAAAGGCATTACGAGGAATTACGGGAAAATATTTCCCGTTATTCTACAGATTACTAGCAGTGACTGACACTACGCGAACAAATGAAAGAATAACTACCAACAATTTTCTTGCAGATGTTACTAATAATAATACTTATGGAACGCCATCTATCATTTCAATATTAACAGGAAAGAAGAGGAGTTTCAGAGTGATGGCAGCACCGCGACTCTAACCCAGACCGCTCCCGCAGGCTCACTAAGACCAGCCGAAGCAGAACCTCCCGTTTCTACAGCTAGTCTACCTTGTTCTCCACAAATAATCACACAGAAACCTCTCATGCGGAGGTCGTCCACCCTGATCAGCGAGAAGGACAAGGATAGCGAAAAGGAGGAAGTGTTACCGTCCCAAAAGGAGAGGATTCAAGTCCCGAGGAGGTTTAGCAACGTCAGTAATGCGACGTTGACTAATGTGAGCATGCTGTCTGACATTTGCTCCAAAAGTGATCCGGTGCAGTATACACATTTTTTATTTGTTCAAAATGTCCCTCACCTTTCTGTGTTGTTTTGTACACGCACTACACGAATTTTTCCACCCTTAAGATTGGAGCTGAAAGATATTTCTCTGCTTCACATGCTCGTAATAGTAATTGTTTGTACATTTTGGTTATTTGTTAAACCAACTTGATGCTTAATATTTAGGCGTCTATATTGCCGTTAGTACTTGTTAGTCTACTTTGGAAGTTCATTTTTTTAAGTCTGTTACCGTAGCAGACATCGTTAACTTATCAGTCAGATTAATGGAGATGGATCTGTGTTATAACTACTTATATTATTAGTATTATAACCATAATATTTTCATCTACGAATACAAGGCATACATAGCGTGGTATAAAAATTTAATAATAATAACAGAGTAGGTATACTTTCCCGAAGGTTTTTGATGCGTTGAATCCGAATTCGTGGACCACATCTCTCAACTGGCTCTAGTTTCCGATATGTCTCTACCTCAATGTGCAAATATACCGTTTTTTGTCCATTTTTGAGGTTATGTAGCAGGGCGAATATTTTTTTTGAAAAAAACCATAGACATCACCTCAAAGTGAAATCCTTGCCCTTTCAAATGCTCTTTGCTTAAATGTCTTTTTCTTTTTCTAAGATATGACACTTCAGGTTTTATAAGAAGAAAGTATTTTTTATCTTAGATAAAGTGTGCAATTGAAAATAGGGGCGTTAATCTCGGCCCTGTTAGGGTATGGTAGGTTGTGGTTTTGTGATCTAGATAATTTTTAGAAATTTTATGGATTTGTTTTTGAGTATTTATGGGTTTTTTAGATGGCACGTCTTATTTTATAAAAACACAAATATAAATAGATACTTTTTGGTATACTACAATCCAAACCTCAACTCTGATGTCTGAATTATAACGTGTAGAGTGAAATTCAGAAACATAAAAATCCCATAGTGCCATATCTCAGCGAAAAAATACTCTGGTTTCTGGGTAAAAATCTTGTGGGACTGTGTAATCGTCTTCATTGTATAAAGTACAAATCGAAGGCGATGGTTAGGGAGTTTCCTTTTAGTATCCTTTTACGATTTTAGAAAGACTGCTTCTAAAACTTAGTTTTTGGGCAGTAACACTCCTGTTAGAATTCACGTTTTTTTTCCCTCTCCATCTTAGTGTCCTCAGGTTACACCCGTATCCGAATGTATGGGCATGTGTACCTACTTTTGTAGTTGCATATGTGCATTCATTTCGGGCCTGATGAAGCCAACCAGCAGAAATACGTATCCCTCGGGTTACCTATCCTATTTTCTGCTCGTATCCACTTTCCATCTTTTTGCGGATTTGGCCCATTATTTTCCTATTTTTTGTTATATATATATATATATATACAGGGTGACTTTGAAGTTGCTTCATTAATTTTCAGATAATGATTGTAGAAGGAAGATAAACCAAAATATGTGTGTAAAAATAAAAAAAAAATAAAAAATAAATGTTACCTTGTTTTATAAAGTATCCTCCCGACAAGTATTTCAGTGCGGACCTGTATTTGATCGTGCGGTCTTGGAGCACCGGCATGCCCTCCCCTGTGAGGTCTTAAGTCACCTGATTCGCGAGCCCTTTGTACTACATTAACAAAGGCACGAGGGGTTGGTTGCACTCGATTGGGAAACCGATCCGCATAAATCCGTGATGCCGCGTAAATAAGAATCATGTCCACAAGTTCAGCATTTTCGTAAACATGTGCCATTTTTGATTTCGTTTGAGCCACGCAACAGATACCACTATTCACTCACGCGTTACCGACTGACACTGACTGAATACAACTGAATAAAATAATTGTAAAAACATCGTTCCAAATTCTTTCGCTTTTTTGTTTCCGATGCGATGAACGGATAAGGCGGATTATATCCGTTGTTGCCAAACACGAGAACATAATATTATTATTGAGACAGGGCGGTACTCAAACTTCCAAAGGGCTATAACTTTGTTACTTTAATTTTACCGGAAAAATGGTAAAGGAAAAAAACATTTCTTTTGATTAGATCTACTCACTGTTAAAATAAATGACTCAACTTCGAAGTCACCCTGTATATACAGGGTGACTTTGTTAATGTAGTACAAAGGGCTCGTGAATCAGGTGACTTAAGACCTCACAGGGGAGGGCATGCCGGTGCTCCAAGACGGCACGATCAAATACAGGTCCGCACTGAAATACTTGTCGGGAGGATACTTTATAAAACAAGGTAACATTTTTTTTTTTAATTTTTACACACATATTTTGGTTTATCTTCCTTCTACAATCATTATCTGAAAATTAATGACTCAACTTCAAAGTCACCCTGTATATATGTATAGCTGTATAAATAAAATTTCTTCTCATTCCATCACGTCAGTAGTGGCTCCCCTATGCACAGTGCTTCGTTTGGAGCGCGAAACATGCTAACCATGGTTATGGGTCACTAAGCGCCTTATGCGCCTTCACTTAATTACCGCAATTGATCCACTTCACTGCTGATACGCACAAACGAAACTTAGTAGATCGAAGTGCGTTACCGGCAGGCACTGCTTCTTTCGCATACTCCCGATCATTGACGAATGAATGCCGAGACCTGCAGAGTCCGCGATTCAAATAAACAGTGTATCTGTTTTTATTAAAATGTTTAATTGTTCTAAATGTACTTTTTTACACGAACTAATTTACCGAAACCAATTAACTAGTAGTAGTAAGTAACTGCTTAATAAAACAGGTGAATGGATTGCTATTTTAGTTAGTTAGTTTAATAGTACATTACCCACAATTAAACTGGTTACAGAAAATTCAGGTAATTGACCACGTTTTCTTAGTGTAGTTTTAGAAAAGGCAGTGGAATCAATGCCTTGGCTTATACAATACAATATTCAGGGTGTCCGCAAAGTTGGGGTTTTCCTTTTCAGAAACAACTACCCTTGAAATAACAAAGGTGATGTGTAGTGAAACGAGGGCGACCAAGTAAAAAAAAATAAAGGAAAAAGTACTCACTCTCCAGTTGACGAGAATGGCTAAGTACGTCTCTGCCCGTTAAATTATACCGCTCCAACAGAAAATGAAATCAGCTGATGCGCTACCGAGCAGATGCAGACAAACAAGGAAGGCAAAATGTTGCGTAAAAAGTCTAGGTATTGCATCCCGTCCAATCGATTTGGAAGAATAAATGGTCCAATGAGCATACCGTTCACCATGCCAGCCCAAATATTCACCGAAAATGTTTGTTGAAAATGTGCCCGACGGATAGCGTGCGGATTTTCTACTAACCAAACATGAGTATTGCGAAAGTTATTCATCCCATTACGCGTGAACGTAGATTCGTCTGTCACCAATATGCACTTCAAAAAGTCCGGATTATTGTCATATTGATGCTACAACCACTCACAAAACCGCACTCTTGCTGGAAAATCGTCAAGTTGAAGGGCTTGTACACGTTGGACGTGAAACGGATACAGCGACTCTGCACGCAGCATTTGCCACACTTTAGTTTTTGACACTTGCACTTCTCTAGCCACGTCTCTAGTGCTTGATGAGGGATTCTCGTCTACGCGATTACCTCTAGACGCGTGACCGTAACCGTCGGTTGAAGGTTGCATACTGACCTGACACACTGACCTCGACCCAGTTCTGTCGTCGGGTTGAGCTAGTGTCCTAGTATCAGTCGGGGATGTCGCGGCTACAGGACGGTATTCAGATATTTTTGATGTTGCAGAGCCCTTTATCTCGGTTTCCTTAAGACAGTGGTGTAGATGGTACTAAGAAAAATTGCTTATGTTTTCAAGATCTACACGTCGTGTAAAGGGAAACCCCAACTTTGCGGACACCCTGTATTTTAGAAGTACCCTGTAAAATGTATTTTTAAGCATCACTGTTTTAGACAAAATAATTTGTATTAATTATATAGTACATAATATCTTTCAGCTCACTATATCTTATTCGCACACAAAATCCCAACAGACACCCGAATATCCAGGCTAGATGCTTAGAGCTATGCATAAAAATACTGATATGAAGTGCTTCAGACGATATTTTTCTGTTCAATTTGGTGAAAAGAAAAATCACCACAGAAGCAAACTTGCTTAGTTATAGTTATTTAATTGTTGCTAAGTTTACAGTATTGATGAGAGTTATTAAAAATGATGTCAAAAGGCACACTAACAATCAAATCAATATATAAAATACAAGCAATATACAGATATGATATATCCAAAAGACGCACACTTTATCATTTGCAATGACTCCACTTAAGTCACCCTAAAGTCAGGGAATGGTCATGTATTAACTGACGCAAAAGGTGACAACTGCCACCTAGCCTGATGTTGATATATCCGACCACTATGTCGATTTACGCGACCTGACTGCCCATATCGATAATGCCCGGGGTGAGTGCAGCGAGTTCAGTTCGCCTTTTTGCATAAACCTGGGCATCTTTAAATAAAAAATAGCCTGCATCGGTTAACACATAATGGATATTTCACAGTATATGCTATGCATTGTTATTCCGGACTATTACGAGCTTTCGCTTCTATGAAATAAAGTATAAAGGCATACACTCAATAATATAAAAAAAATATATGTCTGACCACGGATTCTCTGCCTACGTTTGCAATTTTCTAATTGCTTTTTAACTACCTGACCTGAAAATGGCAGCTCCGCTGAACTCTTTCACATACCTTCACCCTTCATTGTCACTTCTTGCTAGCAGCTGGCAGTTACTTCCGCACAAAAGAAAACTTTGTTCTTATTGAATTTCATTTCGCCTAAATTAAAGTTTTTAATGAAATGCTGTTTGATCAAGAACGGCAGGCGAGAACTTCATATAATTGCTTACGTCAACTAAGCATTTTCTTCGGTTCTCATAGTGTTTTTGGTCCAGTCATTGTGGATACGGAAGGGTTTATTCATTTTTTGTTGTCCTAATGTTTCACATAACCATTTTTAGGGTTCAAAGCGGATCAGCTATACAATAAGATGATCG